TAAGTAGGGCTCCGACATCTTCATATGCCACAGCCATGCTAAGATCTCACAGTTATGATGTAATGTCACAGCCATGCTAAGATCTCACAGTTATGATGTAATGTCACAGCCATGCTAAGATCTCACAGTTATGATGAAGATTTCACAACCATGCTATGGTGTCACAGCCATGATAGAATGTCACAGCTATACTAATATGTCACAGCCATGATGGGATGTCACAGTTATGCTAATATGCCACATCCATGATGGGATTTCACAGTTATGCTAATATGCCACAGCCATGATGGGATGTCACAACTATGCTAATATGCCACAGCCATGATGAAATGTCACCGTTATGCTAATATGCCACAGCAATGATGGGATGTCACCATTATGTGAATATACCACAGCCATGATGAGATGTCACAGTTATGCTAATATGCCACAGCAATGATTGATGGGATGTCACAAGTATGCTAATATGCCACAGCCTTGATGAGATGTCAAAGTTATGCGAATATGCCACAGCAATGATGGGATGTCACAGCAATGCTAATATGCCACAGTCATAATGGGATGTCACAGCCATGATGAAATGTCACAGTTATGCTAATATGCCACAACCATGATGGGATGTCACAGCTATGCTAAGATCTCACAGTTATGATGGGATGCCACAGCCATAATGGCATGTCACACTCGTGTATGAATGTGATAGCCCAGATAAAACTAGGCGCCACAACCATTTAAAATGTAACAGCGTTATAGAATTTTCACAGCTATTATGAAAATGGCATGCTAAGATATCGCAGCCTTTTCCAAGATGCCACAGCTAAGATCTCACAGTTATGATAAAATGTCACAGCCATGATGAGGATGCCACAGCCATTATGGGATGTCACAGCTATGTACAAATTCCACACCTATGATGAAGATGGTACGGCCAAACCATGCTATTATGTCACAACTGTGAAAAGATGCCATAGCCCTGCTAATATGTCACAACCGTGTGAAGATGTCACGGCCCTGCTAATATGACACAACCGTGTGAAGATGGCAGAGCCATATGAAGATGTCGGAGCCCTACTTATATGTCACAGCCAAAACGGCTCGACCTAGGCTCGTGATAGTCGGTGTATAGCATCATGGTAGGAAAAGCCATCACTGTGCCGAAATTGGAAGTCACAGGTCAAAGGTCAATGGGGCAGATTTTAGACATTTTCTGAGGACATGGTCTGATGGAGCGATTGGAAAACATTTTTGTTTCAGCGGTGACCTTCCATTTTTATGGCTTTATTGAAAGGACCATAAAATGTACTTTCCGCTGACATGCGAAGAGTAAGTGTCGGATAACTTTTTGACCCTCAAGAGGAGGGTTAAACATTGATTTGTTGACTGTTAACAAAGGACTGAACTGCTTTTGCTATTATTAGAGCCCATACCTGTGTGAATGTGAGGCTACAGTTGCACAGTTTAATTGCAAAGGCAAATGTTTGTTGAACAAGGTTTACGCTCCTTAAATCATATTATTTTCTAAAGCAGTGTCTATAGCACCCTAAAGGCTGAATCAGTGAATGCTCGTATGGGTAGGCAAAAACACGGGGCAGCCCATGGCTGGCACGCTTCTAATCATAATTGTTGCCTGCCAACCTGCAATGCACATGTGTCTGCAATGCATAGAGATTAGGTGGGTGCGAAAGTGTAGCTGATATTATTTCTTATTATTCTTATACCTCTCCCTATTTCTCTCTCTCGCACACACATGCACACGCTCCTCTCTATCTATCTATCTCTCTCTCTTTCTCTCTCCCTTTCGCCCCCCTTCTCTCCCCCTCTTGTGCTCTCTCTTGCTCTTTCTTTCTCTCTCTCCACATGACATTGAGGGATGCTTGTGCCTCTTGTAGCCGGAGCAGAGAAGGAGAAGGCGGTTGTGACGCCCAACAGTATCGCTGGCAGCGGGAAGCCAAACTCTGCCACGGTGGCAGCGCCACCTAGCGCGAAGAAGGAGGAGTCTGAGCAAGTGTCCTCGTTAGTAATTCCTTGCAAACAAATCTTTTTTTTACTATGGCAGCTTTTGCATTTGTTTTTGTCTGTGCATAACAGCTCCTACCTATTTTAAATGTGCTCTAACCTCTGCCAACCATCTGCCAATATCTCAAACCTCCCTGCAGTTATTCTGAACCAGACTGTAGAAGCTTCTCCAACTCATGACAACCTGCGCTAGTAGATAACATATTGTGCTTAACCAATAATATTAGCTTCATGAGCAGAGATGGACGCATCGTGTAGTTAAGACAGTAGCGATATGTTCTGATGGCAGTAACGTAAGTCTGTGCTCACCTAAATCAGTGTTACCTGCACCATCGTTACCGTGGTCGGTGAAATGTTTACATGCATGTGTTCCCCGCCAGCGCTGGCACCAAGAAGGAGGAGCCGAGGAAGGAGAAGGATCGGTCAGAGCCACGCAAGGAAACCAAGCGGGACTGGAAGGAGAAGGAGAAGCAGGCAGACAAGGAGACGAAGAGGAAGGATGAGAAGAAGGAGGAGAAGGCTCAGAGCAAGGATAAGGAGGAGCGCGATTCCAGCCACGGTGACATGAAGGCTCCTCCGTTGGTCAAGAAGGAGGAGTCAGAGAGAGGTGCGCGAGCGGGATGAGAATTCATGATGTGACACGCGCAGCGGGGACGTCTCAGTCTATAGCGCGGACGTCTCAGCGTATAGCAGGGATGTCTCAGCGTATAGCAGGGACGTCTCAGTCTATAGCGCGGACGTCTCAGCGTATAGCAGGGATGTCTCAGCGTATAGCAGGGTCGTCTCAGTCTATAGAGCGGACGTCTCTGTGTCGTCACCAATGTGTCCACGTGATCGATATAAACTGTTGGGCGTTATAACATGTAGATTTATTACGTGACAAATAAAGGGTTTTTCATGTAGACATTTATCCCTGCTAGAGTACACGGAGAAATGTGTAAGCAAAAGAGAAAACGAATAATATACGAAAAAATATGAATGAAATTAAAATCAAAATGTCACATTCGTATTGTTTCGTTTTTAATGTAAACCAGTACGATTCTGTCGTAATCATTTACGTAGCAAAATATTTGGCATCAATCTCGCTTCTCTTACGTCAGCCATTGCTCTTTTGTTTCAGAGCACAAGCGGCGAAAGATCGACACAAGCACGAAGGTTAGTATACTGGTAGCTGAAAACTCTTAGCTCTTTCCGATAGCCACCACCAGTC